AAAAAAAAAAAAAAAAAAAAAAAAGCACTGTCTAGTACAGTGGCCACTAGCCACTTGTGGTTACTGAGCATTTAAAGTGAGACTACTGCAGCTCAAATCACATTGTGCTATAAGTATAAAATATACACGAAATTTTAAAGACTTAATACCAAAAAAAAGAATGTAAATTATCTCATTAATATTTTATGCTAAGTACATGTTGAAATATTTTAGATACACTGAGTTAAAGTATTAAAATAACTTTCATCTGTTTCTTTTTACTTTTTGAACATAACCACTAGAAAATTTAAAATTACATATGTGGCTTCTATTATATTTCTATTGGACGGAGTTACTTGTTCTAGAATATGAAAGACAGTCACCTGATACTCCATTACTGACACACTATTAGAACTAATAGAAGATTTTGGTGCAGTACTATGGCTATATGGTCAATACCAACAACAATAAAAATCAAAAGCTTGATACACAATCAATAAATAATTAGAAAATATATTTACTTCCAATCAAAATAGCAACAAATCCAATGAAATATTCAGGAATAAACCTAAAATAGAGAAGACCTTCAGGCTGATGACCATAGAATTTGAAGACCATATGAGATCTGAATTAATGTAAAGGCATAACATGTTTCTGGACAAAAAGAGTCAATACTATAAAATGTCAAATCTAGGTCAGGTGTAGTGGCTTATGCCTGTAATCTCAGCACTTTGGGAGGCTAAGGCAGATGGATCAACTGAAGTCATGAGTTCGAGACCAGCATGGACAACATAGTGAAACCCCATCTCTACTAAAAATACAAAAATTAGCCAGGTGTGGTGGTACATGCCTGTACTCCCAGCTACTTGGGAGGCTGAGGCGGGAGAATCTCTTGAACCTGGGAGGCGGAGGTTGCAGTGAGCTGAGATCATGCCACTGCACTCCAGCCTGGGCGACAGAGTGAGACTCTGTCTCAAAAAAAAAAAGTCAAATGTCTCTCAGGAAATCTAAAATTCAGTATAATAACCATCAAAATACCAACAAGACTTTACGTGATATTTTGCAATAGTGTAAATAAAACATTTCTACATGAAAAAATACATAAGAAAACAATTCTGAGACTGACCTGGGGAAGTACACATCCATTCACATAGTAAAATTTGTATAAAGCTATAGTCATGTAAAAGTGTGATTTAGCAGCAGAGAAGAAAAATAGGTCAACAGAAGAGAAATTAGGTCAGAACAGAGCTACATGTATTTTATCATTAAGATTATGATAAAGGTAGTGTGCCAGATCAGTAAGAAAAGGATAAAATTCTGTTAAGTGTTCTTGGGACAATAAAATTTTCTTAGTATTCAATTATAGAAATATGTGTATAAACCTTGAATCAGGGAAGCCCTTTTCTTATGCAAGAAACAACATTCAAGAATACATGAAGAATACTCATTTGACCATTTAAAAATTAAATACTTTTACATGATAAAATACATCACAAAGACAAGTGACATATGTATAACAAAAGGATTTTTTAAAAAATCTACAAATCAGTAAAAAAAAAAAAAAAAAAAAAAAGTAATCCAAAATTAAAATGGGCAATAAAGGAAGCTGAGGCAGGAGGACTTGAGCCCAGGAGTTGAAGACCAGCCTGGGCAACACAGTGAGACCTTGTCTCTACAAATAATAATAATTTAAAAAGAAATAGCTGGGCATGGTGGTGCATGCCTGTAGTCCCAGCTATTCACAAGGCTGAGGCAGGAGGATCAGTTGAGCCCAGGAGGTTGAGGCTACAGTAAGCTGTGACTGTGCCACTGAACTCCAATCTGGGCAACAGAATAAGCCCCTATCTCAAATACATGTATATTTTTTAAATGGGCAACAAAAGTACAAACAATAAAAATAATTTTTAAAAATGTGATGAGATGACCCATAAGACTAGAAAATTTTTAAAAGACTGATAATACTCAGTTGTATCAGTAAAGGTATAGGAAATTACCAACACTAAGAGATCCAAGTGGTAGAGGACTTTTTAAAGCATATTTGGCAGTTTTCATTGAAAATAAAATGCACATACTCATGAACCTAGCAATTCTTTTTTTTTTTTTTTTCCTATACCAGGGAATACTTGAATAGGCACACAAAAGAGCATGTATAGGAATGTTTAATATTGTTTATAATGGTCCAATAATGTAAACAACATACAAATGCTCCCCAGTAACAATGGTAAAATGAGCTATGGTTAAACTATGCCATGGAATACAATATAAATATGTAGATGTCTATGTACCAACAAGGAAATACCGTTAAGTGAAAAAAACAAGTTGCAGAAAAACTAATGTAACAATTTTAAAAATCACTTACCAAACCATATATGTATCCATATGTACATGCATATATAAACATATTTTTAAAAAACAAGAAGGACAAAGTATACATCACACTGGAAACAGAGATTATCTCTAGAGGATGAAGTGGGATTGCATGGAATTCAAGGAAGACTTTTGTTTTACTTGTATAGTTTAATTTTCCCCCAGTAATAATATATTTATTTCTTTAAAAATAAATGTAAAAGAATAAAATTAAAATAACAGAACAATATAGATCCCATTAGTATGAGGAATATAGGAAAACCTTATCAGAAATCACTAAGTGAAAAACGCCATTCACAAACTACATATATATAAATATATATGTATATATATGCATGCTCCATTTGTTTTAAGAACTTGCAAATATACATATCTATGCATGTAAGTCCATCTACAGGTCACTGGTAGGGTCCACTGTAGACAGTGGTCATTTGTCATGGAGCAGAGTGGGAGTGAAGGTGGCTTGAGAAGAGTCTCAGACTTTGTTCAGTGTAGTATTACTCTATTGCTTGACTCTTCTATAACATAGACGTATTCAAGCATAACAAGCAATTAAAAACAATAAGGAAGGGAAGGAGGAAAATCCCTGGTCACCAACTCCCCCAGAAATATGATGCAAATACTTTGGAACTAGGGATACGGCCCGGTAATTTTTACTTTAACAACAAAACAGAAAAACTCCTGATAATTTTGGAGGGAAAAATCATCAACATGTTAACTCTGATTATATTGAGGACCATGACAATGGATGTGATATTTTTTAATCTTTGCATATACATATTTTTATTATTTATTATAATTGGCAGGTATCCTTTTTACACAAATTCTTATTAAATGAATTAAGTGCTTCTGTAAATAAATTATAAACAATGTATAACAAAATAAGAAACTGATACGTTTTGTTTCTCCTGAACTAACACAGGCAGATACTTTTTATTTCTGCTTTACATTGTAAATAGTTTAGTGTGAACATCTGTTCATTTCTAATATTTTGTACTTTTTATTGAACACACAAAATAAAGTACCTTATAAATAGCATAACAATATGTAATTTCTTACATAATTGTGAGCCTACAAATATCAAGCTTTTTTAACGATTACTGAAATTGATTTACTACTAACTTTTAAGGAGCTGTTATGGGGGAAAGCGGGAAATAGTCCTCATCCCCAAATTTCGAGGTCCCCAAAGAAGAGCATACTGGGAACCTCAAATTGCACATCTGGTATAAATTTTCAGTATAGGTATAAGCAAATTCAAGGATCAGCAAGAAGAGGTTTTTTTTGTTTTGTTCTTTAATACAGGAAGGATTTTAAGATTACTGAGGAACACAGGAAAGTTTCTGTTAAATAATGTGCTCCTTCCT